TGGTTAATTTCTTTTTTAAAACTTTTTTTTATATATTAATTCTTTTTTTTGAATTGTTATATATGAATAAATATTATTTTAAAATATATAATATAATATATTAATGAAGATTATTTTATCCGACTACTGATATTTATAATTATTTTTCTAATATTATTTGAATTATTGTACATTAATAAATGGGAAATTAAGTAATCTAACAACATTTTAATGTGTATTTGAAGAAAATAACCAATTGTTTAGCAGAAATAACCACTTCGTCTGGAATGGGCATTCCAGACGATAACATATTTTAGACAACACCACCACTATCTATCCGTCCGAAAATTGTAGTTTTGTCCAAAATATGTCTCAAACTCGGTGTGACAAAAAAGAATTAATACAATAGAAATTAAAAAAAAAATAACTAAAAAAAAGGTAATAATCCCATTAAGTAATATTCATTAATACAAATAGATATTTAATATTAAAAATAATATTTATTAATATATAATAATACAATAAAATAAAATTAATCCAATAAAAAAGAAATTAAAAAAGAATTAATCAAAAGAAATCATTACTCTAATAAAATAATATTATTAATATAATAAATATTACATATTAAAAATAGTATTTATTAATATATAATAATCAATAAAAAGAATTAATCCAATAAAAAGAAATTAAAAATCTAATTAAAAAACTAATATATAATACTTTAATAAAGTTAAAATGAAGATATGCAGAAATGGTCCATATGGTTTGGTAAAAAGACTCAATTACAGAAATGGTTCTTGAGGGTAAAATAGTAATTTTAAAAAAGTTAACAGTCAGACTGTTAAAGTTAACGACATAGGGATCAAATCTGCACAAGGTATCCAAAATTGGACCATTGGTGCACCACCAAACATTTTTGGACCAAAACCGCATAATTTTGACAACCACATGGACCATTTTTGCAATTTTGTCATTTTAAAATATTACAAGTTTTTTTTTTAATATTGAATATAATATGATGCAAAAATGAGATTATTCAAAATATTTATGATTTAAAAAAAGTATGATTCAACATGTTTATGATCCTTAGTTCGTTATGATCAAAAAATATTTTGATTCAAATATGTTTTGATCCTTAGTTATATCTTTTATGATTCAAAATATATAATAATCCAAATTTTTATGAAAAAAAAGCTTTATTTAAATGAGTATATTATTGATCCAAAATCATATGATTCAAATATGATATGATCAAATATATTATGATTCAAAATAATTTGATTCAAAATTTTATAATCCTAAAATAATGTGAATCAAAAATAATATGACATGAAAATATTATGATGCTTAATATTTTTGTTATTTAAAATTTTTATAATTGTTAAACATTAAAACTCAAACCGATATTTAGTTTAAAAACATAAAAAAAATTCGAAAACAAATAATAAAAAAAACACTAATAGCTTCAAATATATAGTAAAGAGATTATAAAAACAAAAAAAAACAAAAAATAATTAAAAAATTATAAAAAAACTAACAAAAAAATTCTATGTTTTTGACCCTACTATCTACGTGTCATTAAATTAGGAGAAATTAAATATCCTTATATTTTTCTTTTTTACTTATCTTTCTACCTATGTGAAATAATGACAAGTGTTTTAAAATATTATTAATTTTTATCAAAATCTGACACTTATCACTATTGAAGATATTAAATACTAAAAAAAGATAAGATGATATTTAATTTCTCTTAAATCGGATTTAGGATAATAAAAAAACTACAATATGAATTTTAAGCAAAATTCAAGATTCAAACACATAGTATCTTGCTATGTATCTGAGAGAAGTTTTGCAGAGTAGTGTTAATAGAAGATTGTCTTTGCAACAACCGAAATCTTGAATATATAAAGAAAACTGTCGTTATTTTTAGTTATGAATTTGGAGGGAAAAAATGCATCTGTTCCGAACAATTGTGTTGGTTGGTTTTTGCGGAAACCACCGAACGAATAATATCTGTTGCATATGGATCTGGTTTCGGGCCGGGGTGTTGCCCCTGGACCCGGAATTATGCATTTCTCACATCCACACCAATAGTATAACCAAAGCTAAACCCAATTGTCTCGAATTAATCAAGATTATATCAAATGACTTGATGAAACTATACTCGGTTGATGATAAGTTCCAAAACTTTGACACTTAAAAATCTGTTGGGTGCAGTAAATCACGTGGCATCTGTGTTGATTTTTCACAGTATTATTCACAAGTTTTTTAGAAGTAAGCGAATTTAGGTTTTAATAGTTGATTTTTCAACAATTCCTACATCAAACTTGTTATTTAGTTTGCTTTAATTTGTTTTCACCGGTTTCCATTTATATTTTAGAGTTTCCTACTAAATCTCAATATGTTTCATCAAAGAAAAATTAACAGATATTATAATCTACATTGAGTGTTCTTTATTTAGTATCAATTAAACAATCACACATTTCATATTCTTTTTATTACTTGATTACAAGTTTACAACACGTACACCTTGCTTTAATTTGGTCCATAGAATAAGGAAGAGACAATACTTGACGACTCCTAAATGTGTTCAAATACTTATGGACTAAAAACAAGTCACTTTAATTTATGAAAAGTGTATAAAAATGAATCGTTCTAGAAAGAAAACCACATCTTTGTTTTTTTTTGCCTATTCTACCACCACTATCGAAATATGTTAACAAACATTACAAATAGAGACAAAAAACGTGAAAGAACAATATGTCTTTATCTATTTTGCTACCACAAAAGAAAACTAAGGAAATACGTTAATAAACAAATGTCAACATCGACCACTTTCTGTACCCTTCTTCAACCTTCGTGTATATTTGCAAAATACTGCAGAAATCTCTGCTATATAAGGCCATGCACTTGTTATAGCTTTAGTTATTGCATGATGGCTATAAACACTCAAAACTCGACTTTTCTCCCTCTACAAGAGAAAATAGTCCATAAGAACACAACAGCCCGAGTCATAGAGTTCGTGATTCTTTCCCTTCTTGTTTCCCTACTTATTTATCGAGTCGTTTACTTCAAGAATCAAGGCCATTACTTCCCATGGGTTCTTGCGTTGCTGTGTGAGTCAATGTTTACTTTCACTTGGATTCTTGTTATGTCTACTAAATGGAATCAATGTTCAACCAAAACATACCCTGAAAGACTCTTAAACAGGTAAATTTCGATTTGGTTTTCTAGCCTCGATCTTTGATTTTTTTTCCACTTTAAAATTGGAAAACGAGTCTTAACTTATTAAGTTCTCGGTTTACTGACAGTTTTTTATGCTTTAATGAACAATACACAGATTTAGAGCATTACATCGCATAGTTTAATGCAACTGTAGAATAAGTTGGAATGTCTAGTGATGGCACGTTGTCATTCAATAGATATGACGCTCAATAGTTATCGAATTATTCAACCAGAATAAAAACTTATTTAATATAAATGATTAACAAATAAATATATATTTTATAAAAAATATATATTTCATTGAACTTTTATAGAGTTCAATTCATTGTAAAGAAAAACATATATATATTGTATGGAAAGTGAAATTATGATATAGCAAACCATTAAATTATATAGAATTCAAATGCATTATAGATGTCATTAAGATACCAATATTGATAACAATTTTTTTTTATAGTATATTAATTTCAAATAAATGTTACTTTTAGTATACACTTTCAAAACCGAGTTATCCCATATTTATATTCCACATGCTTCAACTTTGAGATGACTGTCGTTCAAAACATACATAACCATTTGTTATCAACATTGTGAATGTTATTTGCTACTTGTGTGCAAAATTATTCATACACAACAAAATATGTTTCAGTGTAAACGAATCAGAGTTTCCAGCTGTGGATGTCTTTGTAACCACTGCAGATGCCATCCTAGAACCATCTATCATAACAATGAACACAGTGTTATCCTTGCTAGCAGTAGATTTTCCATCTAACAAGTTAGCTCTTTATCTGTCCGACGATGGCTGCTCACCTCTTACATATTATTCACTTGTTGAAACGATAAAGTTTGCAAAAGTTTGGGTCCCTTTCTGCAAAAAGTATAACGTGCAAGTCAGAGCTCCGTTTCGATACTTTACTCCCGAGTCGACACCATTAAAAGACGATTCATTAGAATTCCAACAAGAATGGAAAAAGATGAAGGTAGTAATTTGGAATTTCCGAAAGTTCAAACATTTTCTTAAATTGGTATCTGTGGCCCTAATCTTTCAAATTTTTATTTTTTAACCCCCTTAAGTACGATTTTTACTTTTATACGACTTCTTGCAATTTTTATCCAATTTGAAAGATAATTATCGAAAAAAGGTTGAAACTTTTTAGATGGGCATTTTCAAAACTCAAGTTGAACTCGTAATCCTTGGGTACTATGGTGTTTTCGGTATATGAAGATCTGTGGTATCCAAATTCGTTACGTCAATATACTGTTGCTTGTCATTATATACAAGTTTTCACGTGCTCCTTGTCTGCGTATGATATTGATTACAGAACGAATATGGAGATCTTTACAAGAAGATTGAGTTCGCATCTCAGAGGCCCATCCCATGTGATCGTAATTCGGATTTTGCTGATTTCTATAATGTTCACCGGTCGGACCACCCAACTATCATCAAGGTACTATGTCCAAGCATTCCCAATTTTTCTTATAAATGAAGTTACGATGTGTGGCTATAAGGTTAGCAAATCTTGATATGCACCCAGTTTGATAGACAGATCCTTTTAATAGCTAAACTATGACAGTTAACAAAAAATATGAACACTTAGGGATTTTTAGCAGAGTTAAGCATTGTTTTTTATATAATAAACTTCTGTTCTCCTCCAAGTGTTTGACGAAATTCCCCAATGAGATTGACATGTCAGAACAATCTCGGAGGCTAGCGTTTGTGGTTCAAACAGATCTTTAGGAGATTTAAACATTGTTTTTTATATTATAAGCTTCTGTTGCAATCCAAGTGTTCGATGAAATTCCTCAAGGAGATTGACATGTCAGAAAAATCTCGGAGGCTAATGTTTGTGGTTCAAACGGTGCTTTAAATGTGATAAGGTTGATTTGTTTGATTGCATAACGACATTAGCCACATGGTTGTGTCTGAGTCAAGGCTAAAAATAAGTGAAACAACATGAGGTTTGTAAAACAGGAGAAAAGAAAAAAAATAAACATAAACATAACAAACTAAACAATTACCAAACAATATAATGAATGAAAGATAGACTGAGATTGTAAATTGTAATAACTTCTTAAATCTTTACTCTTATTTTAAAAAAGAAGATTTTGACATGATAAAATTAATTGTTGTAGATTATATCGGAAAATAAAGAAGGTAGTCCAAATGAATTACCCCATGTGATATACATCTCGAGAGAAAAAAGCTCCAAGCATCAACACCATTACAAAGCTGGTGCCATGAATGTTTTGGTTAGTAGGCTCTTTAAGCTTTATACAATTATCAGTTTCTTTTTTCTAATTTTATAAATAACAAGAGGGATAAATAATGTTGTGTAAATGATGAGCAGACAAGAGTCTCGGGAGTAATGACAAATTTCGCCTCTGATGTTGAATCTAGACTGTGACATGTACGCAAACAATCCACAAGTTTTCATTCATGCAATGTGTATGCTGTTTAGTTTCAAGAATGAAGAAGATGCCGGTTTTATCCAATTTCCTCAAGCTTTCTATAATGGGTTGAAGGATGACCCTTTTGGGAATCAACTTGCTAACTTTTATGTGCGTATATTTTTTTTAATCTCTTATTCTCCAGATTTAATCTGACTTGACATGACAGGTTGAACTGTGTTTGACATACATTGTACCAGTTCAGTCATGTCATGTCATGTCACAAACAAACGACATCCCAAATACAAATTCAAGAATCCCACATGATTTTACTTTTTTAACCTTTTTATCATGTTTAAATCAGTATCTTGCAAATGGAATTTCGGGAATTCAAGGGACTTTTTACGCAGGATCGAATTGTTTTCACAGACGAAAGGTTATTTATGGTTCATATCCAAATGATAAAATAAAAACCGGTACGTAACTATAAATTTTTTTTTTTTTTCCATATCTATGGTCATTTTTTTTGATGTCTACACTTTGATTTAACTCTTTATATTTATTTTCTTAAATACAAAATATAGATAACAAAGATCTACATAAAATCTTCGGAAAATCAATTGAATTACAAGAATCAGCCGCTGAGATATTATCAAGCTCAAATTCAAAGATAGAAAGTCAAAGGAGACCCTCGAGTTTCATTGAAGCGGCAATTCACGTTGCGGGTTGTAGCTATGAGTACGGTACCATGTGGGGCACACAGGTAAACAATCTGATTTACATCTTACATGATACTCCTGGGGTGGGGCAGTGTGAGCCAGCTCAGAGGTTGCTAGAAGAATAAAGGTTTTTACAGATAAACCTAATTACAACAGTTATTTAATAAACTCGCGATATTTTTTAGGTTGGATGGATGTACGGATCGACAACCGAAGATGTTCTCACGGGACTGACGATCCATGGAAAAGGGTATAGATCCGTCATTTGCACACCCGACCCGCCCGCATTTCTCGGGTGTGCCCCTACAACGTATCCATCCGCCAACACCCAACAAAAAAGATGGGCCATGGGGCTTCTTGAAATCTTATTCACCGATAAAAGCCCAATACTTCTTACTATAAAAGGAAACCTTTGGTTTCGACAAGCCCTCGCTTACCTATGGCTTAGTTCATGGGCAATTCGGTCATTTTTCGAGCTAATTTACGCGGCCCTTCTGTCGTATTGCATCATCACCGGTTCCCATTTCTTGCCGAAGGTGAACGAGCCGGCTTTTCTCATCCCCGGGGGTATTTTTGTCATTTACAATCTTTACGTGTTGTGGGAATTCCGAAGGATAAATTTGTCATTTCGTATGTGGTGGAACCTCCAAAGAATGGGGAGAGTAAACGCCATGACCGCGTATACGTTCGCGTTTGTAACTGTCGTCTTGAAGCTCTTTGGATTATCGAATATAGTTTTTGAAGTAACACAAAAGGAAGAAAGTAATGATGATGAAGATACTTCCGGAAGGTTTGTTTACGACACGTCACCGATGATCGTGCCAGGTGTCGCGATTCTGTTGGTCAGTCTCACTGCATTGGTTAGTGGGATGTCAAGATTAGGGGAGGTTGGATTTGGGGAGATGGTTTGTAATGTTTGGATGATACTATGCTTTTGGGAATACTTTAAAGGGATTTTTGGGAATGGGAAATATAGGATTCCTACATCCACAATTTGGAAGGCTGGAGCTTTGGCTTTACTTTTTGTGCAATTATGTAGAAGATCATCTTAATTGTTATAGATGATTTTATATAGATTTATGTTTGTATGATTTGAATAGAAGATGTTGGTTAAGAATCATGTTAGGATTAAATTGGAACATTGTTAAAGCTTTATGTTCCTATGTAACAAATTGTTGCATTCATTTGTGGATAATATGTTAGAAATGAAAAAATATGTGTATAATACATGCTTTAGGGTGTAGAAATATTATTAATCATAATCATGAAAAATTACAAAAGGATCCTTTTATGTCGGATGTTTGATTTTTGAAGGTTTCAATTAAAATAAAAATTTGCGAAAGGATCATTTATGTCGGATGTTAAATTTTGGAAGGTTTCAATTAAAATAAAGGTAAATTGCACACAAGTCATTGTATTTTTACAAAAATCTGATTTTGACACTGTTATTTTTTGTTTCAATTTAGTCGTTAAGTTTTCTAATTTTTTTGCAATGTTGACCACTTGATTGATTAACATGTTGACCTGCTGAAGTGGTATGTTGGCGTTTCAGTTTTTGGTGATGTGACATAATGACATGACACTATTTGGTTATGAAGCATTGAGTTGACATGATGACGTGTCAAAAATGACACAAAAAATACTAAGTTTTCACTTTTTTTCAATTTTAACATTAAGTTTTCATTTTTTTAAATTTTTTTGACACTATATTGTTTATTCCAAATCGAACATCATATTTTTCCAATTTCGTTCAATGTTGACCATATTTACATTTGAAACTATATAAATATATATTTTTTTTAAATTTGAAACTGTATAAATAAATCTTTTTACATTTAAAAATCATATATATATATATATATATATATATATATATATATATATATATATATATATATATATACACAAGGTTTTTATATTTAAACCATAATTTAATGTATAAATATGTATTATGTATATGATAACTGTATTTTAAATTAAAAACACATTTTTAATACGGTCTTGGAGGTGCATATAAGTCAGAAAATCTAATGTGATCTTGAGAACACAATGGTCTGGGGCTTGCGTTAATTACCAAGGAATGTTCGTTTTGTATATATATATATATATATATATATATATATATATATATATATAGATATATATATATATATATATATATATTCGTGATTTTGGTTCTTGCAGACATACTTTTTATTCACTTAACGTTACTATGCTAAAATCTTGTCTCAAAAAGCAAGTTTCAGAATTTTACATTTTTGCATGAAATAAAAATTAAGTTTTCTTGGATCATATTGTTTCGTGTTATTCCATGCATTATGGTCGAAATTTTGAAAAATGTTTCCACACATGATCCTTGAAATATCCAAGTTATAATTGATATTCGCTAACATTTTTTTCTAACAAAAAATATGAATTAAAGAGAGAAATCAATCAGCTTTCATAATAATAATAACAACAACAACAACATAAAAATAAATTCACACGACAAATGCTAAATAAAATACAAATTGTTAGGTTAAATATTATAATTTATCATTGAAATCGAACAATTTCCAACTACTATCACAAACAGATTAACCGACAAACAACTAAATGGTTGATTTAATTAGTAATGGCTCAACTATGAAGTTTCATATCAAGCGTTAATTAGCAATACAAATGTAACATCCTAAAAAATTTCAACAAATTTAAACTTTTCAAAACGACTTTTTTACTAATAAAAGTGTTTACAAAATTAGTATTTCTAAAACATTATTTAAAATCAGAGTCTCCCAAGATCCATTCAGCCGTAAAACCAAGGATGTGTACGGTCACGCCTTCACCTTGTCATGGTCCTCTGAAGTACCTGAAAGAATAAACTGAAATTGTAAGCACAAAGCTTAGTGAGTTCCCCCAAAATACCACCACACAAACAGATAACATATACCAACAAACATCATGCATACATAGCCTTCAGCCTGACTGGAACGCCCTTACCAGCCTACAGTCTATCTGGTACGGTCACAGGGCCTTCAGCCTGACTGGAACGCCCTTACCGGCCTACAGTCTATCTGGTACGCTCACATAACCTTCAGCATGATCGGTACACCCTACCGGGCCTTCAGCCTATCTGGACCATTCTCCGGGCCTTCGGCCTGATATGCCCCACTGGCCTTCAGTCTATCTGGGACGCCCCGGGTCTGTTGGCTTTCAACACAAAGTAGGACCACCTCAACCCAACCACACATACACTGTGTCGACACACATATATAACAAACAACAATACAAATAACCAGCCAATAAACAAACAGACAGATCTTACAGATCACTAAGCATAACATCATCCTATCTACCAGGATACAGATCTAACAGATCACTACAGAACACAATCATATGATAAACCAGGACAACAATCCAAAGGGCCGACCTTGGTGCCTTCGACCCATAAGTATAGTGAGGAAAACTCACCTCTGCCGAATCTCACAGAAAGAATCTCTGGCTGCTGGTCCGTAAGAATTCCCGCGCTATAAATCACATTTTAGTCATCCATCAATAATCAGATCTGACTCACACTAAATGTCCAAACCAGGGTAAAGGACCTTTTTACCCTCTTCATCACTTGGCCCAAAGCCAAGGCCCAATCCAACAATCCAAAAGCCTAAATTCCAAAATAAACACCCAAGGCCCAAGCATGGCCCGATTTTACAAATTAGGCCCAAACCCCTTCCATGGGCCTTAACTCAAGGCCCAATAATATTCCCATCCCAAAAACACCAGAAATCAGATGGCCCATCAAATCCCCAAACATCTAAGCCCAATACATGGCCCAAACCGAAGACCAAAAGATCCGAGGCCCATTCTGATGAGTACGTGGGGCGTACCCAGCTGTACGCTAAGCGTATATGCTTTAGGGATTGTACGCTGCACGTACTGGCTTGTACGCCCAGCGTACTCCTCCTGTTCAGCCACCTTTCACATTTAGCCCTTAATCCCTTAAGACATTGCTCCAAAACGTAGATCTGACTTCCTTGAGCTGAATTATCATGTAAAGTTGCCAACTTTACGTTCATGCATGGCTAAATGAAACTCTTAAGTTTAAAGAGGACTTAACGAGTGACTTAATGCATGCATGATACCCAATACCCCATAAAGTTGACACTTTTATGCATAGGGAACTCCCAATAAGTTCATATCCAAAAGAATAAGTCTTTCAAATGACTTAACTCCACAACCAACCCAAAAAGGAACCAAAAACATAACAAATCAATCCATAAAGAGATCTAAACATCTACAAGCCAATGTATGAACTTGATACCTCAAAATTCTTGCAAATAGGGTGATGATTCCGGATCTAAAGGCCCCTCACCAAGCAAAGCACATACAAGCTTTTTTACTTCCTTCGCAATGGGCCAAAAAAAATGACACCACAATCTTCTCAAGAGCTCAAAACACCACCAAGAAGGCTTAAGGGTCGATTTAGGGTTTTAGGAGGCATGGGGGCTAGTAAAAAGGCCAACCCTAGAGACTTAAGGTCTTTATATAGGGTGCAACACACTTAACTTAGGGTTTCTTAAACCCCTTGTACGCCCAGCGTACGAGGCCGATGCTTCGCGACCCATCTGCTGACTTCGCTCAGCGTACGCCAATGTACGCCTCGCGTAATGGCCCTCTCACCGGTACGCCCAACGTACTTCCCATGTACACCCCGCGTACTAGGATTTTCCCCAAACCCTAAATTCTTCCAAAGGCCATAACTTCTTCACTACAAATCTGATTTCGACGATCCTTATATCCATGAAAATTTAACGAGAAGCTCTACGCTTTAATCATCTAATAACCGCCTTAAAACTTTCCGAATATAAATCTAATTTCCATAAAAGTCTGGACTGACACTTTACCGAAAAACCCCTTGGCTCTAGAACACAAACCGAACCCCCGAACCATCTAAATTTACATCACACGTATCCAAAAGGTCTAAATCTTATTTCCTCAACGGCCCTAAGCCTGATAATTCCCAATCTTTGGTCACTACCCCGAAATAGGAAATGATTCGGAACAGGATGTTACAACAAATGATGTTGCAATTAATACATATTTTTTTATATATTTAAATTGTATTTTCATATGTTTATTTACATTTAAATCGTAATCTTACATTAAAATTAAATATTTATATGTAAAAACTATTTTACATTAAAATTTCTTATTTAGTGAAAAATATACTTATAATATAAATAATATATTTTTTATACATAACATTACGATTTAAATAAAAAATATTTTATTTACACAAAAAAATGTGTTTAAATGTAAAAAATTTACTTATACCGTTTCAAATGGAAAATAAAACATTAAATGAAATTGAAAAAAAACGATGTTCGTTTTCAAACGAAAAATAGAGTGTCAAAATAAAAATAAAAAATAATAATAATAACTAAACGTCAAAATTGAAAAAAAATGAAAACTTATTGTCTTTTATGCCAATTTTTTTTTCAATTTTTGACATGTCATCATAACATGTCAACCCTTGGTTGACCGATAAAGTGGTCGACATTGCAAAAAATTAATAAACTTGATGACCAAATTGAAACAAAAATATCGCAGTATCAAAATCGAATCAAAAGCTATTATCATTTAAAATTGGTTGCATGCAACATAGTTTTTTTTGAAGAAATTAACTAAAATGTGATGTGTAGTTAAAGAAAATAGCCAAAAAAAATATTTTTAGGCAATAGAACAAACAAATTTAAAATGAGGCATTCCACACTAAAAAACACTTTACTGGCATATTAATATATTTTATACTGTCGTTTCATATTGAAATTTTAGAGTTTGAAAAAATAAAAAAAAAAGAAAACAAAAACTTCGGAATATTTGGAACAATTGAAAATGCAATGAAATTTTTTAGAATTTCGAGATTTTTATTATTGTAATTACAGTCTAAGAAAAACTTAAACAAACATAATAAAAAGAGATGTATATACGATACTAAAGCTTAAAATCATACATTTGATTGAAAAACAATGATATTAAACCCTATGATATAGATATTTCACACACAAATAAAAAGATTCTTTGAAAAAAAAAACTCCAAAAATTTAATGAACTATCTATAATCAGACATTTGGGAGAAAGTGTTTATTTCAAAAACTGAAAAAATGATTTTATATATATATATATATATATATATATATATATATATATATA